AATTTCACGGGTTTTTTGAGCTCTCGGTCTCGACTCTCGGTTTGGTCTCGGTCTTGGGGTTGATTCGCGGTCTCGGTCTCGACTCTCAGATTTTTTAGCTCCCGAACATCACTAGTAAATTCAAAAATGACTTTAGAGGGCGTTTAAGGTATAATAAAGGATAGAGCCAACTTTACAAAAAAATCTCAGCATCATCCGCCTCCAACATAAAAAATTTTGGGGGGAGGTGCTTTAAGCGCTAGAGGTGATCTAGGAGTGTTTTTCATAATTGAAAAAATTCTTATAATTTCTTAAATAATTTTTTTTCTATATTAAATACCCCAAAGTACATTTTTATCAATAATCATTTTTCTAAAAATTGTTTTGATAAAGAGTTGATAAATTTAAAAAATCAAATCAACCTTATTTAGAGAATAATAGTTGACGTATGTTTAAAAGAATTTTTAGAAAAATTTTAAAGAAAAACAAAAATTCAAAAAAAATTTTTTTTGAGAATAAAAGGACACAAAATTAAGAAAAATATTTTTAAAACAAAAAATACAGCAATTTAATTTTGTATTTTAAAGTAAATTTAAATTGACAACTTTGTTATTGGTCAAATCAAAAATTAAATTTAAAAAATATTGCTGGGGTTTGTAGTATGTTTTAATACAAAAATAAATTGGCATACTAAAATATTAGTAAGAAATATTTTTGGAAAAAAATAAAAAAGAAATATTATGCAAAAATTGGAAATATTTTAAAAAAGCAAAAAGAGCTCATTTGGTCACTAGCCCCCATTTTGTTTGTAGACCCAGAACTTTTGAATAAATCGTCGGATTTGGGGGAGTGTGGTACCATTCGATAGCGCAGAAAATTTGCTATAAAATAGGCAAAATGGAAAAATTTTCAATGGGGGATATCGACTGTTATATGTAGGTCTGCGACTAGGTAGCCTTGGGAGAGAGTGGTGTGTCTTAAAAAATTTCCATAACTTTTAAATAAATTGTCGGATTTGGATGTGGGTGGTACCATTCGATAGTGCAGAAAATTTTCTATAAAATAGACCAAATAGAAAAATTTTCAAGTGGGATATCGACAGTTATAAAGTCTGCGACTAAGCATCCTTGGAAGAGAGAGGGTCTTATAAAAATTTCAAAATCTAAGGAAAAAAATTTTTTGATAGTAAATACATTTTTTAAAAATAAAAAGGATGTAAAAAGCATCTTATGAGGAAAAAAGTTTTTTTAAAAATAATAAATATGTATGACAAATGTCCGTACAGAATAATAATTTTACGAGTTAAATTTAAATAAATACATAAAATTTTTTAAAATAAAAATATTTTCAGAATAAAAAATTTTCGTTTTTACAATAAAGTAATGATTCTGAAAATAGCAGGGATCAGAAAAAATTGGAAAAAATATTTAAAATAATAATTAAGCAACAAAATCCTACTACGAGACCCAACTCATCTCCGTAACCATAAATTTCCTTACGAGAGTCGAATCGCGTCGAGTTTGGTACCGACAGAAGCAGCTAGTCAATCTGAGTCGGAAAATATCCAAATCGACCCCATTTTTATTTTGTAGGACATTTGCGGACATTTTTGGAAATTTGCGGACATTTTCAAGATTTGCGGAGATTTTTAACATTTGCGGACATTTTGGAGATTTGCGGACACTTGTGGACATTTGCGGACATCTTTGGAAATTTGCGGACATTTTTAACATTTGCGGACATTTTGGGACATTTGCGGACATTTTTGGAGATTTGCGGACAAGACTGAAGGCTGTTGAGGTAAGCATGGTTCGTGTCCACAAATGTCGTCCGCAAATTTAAATAAAATTTAAAAATTAATTTAAATTATAAAAATGTTTAAAAATTTTCTTGACAATTACTAAATGTGAAAAATTGTAAAAAGGATCATTGCAATCATAAAAATAAAAAAGGGAAGAAGCTGTTTTCGTTGTAGGGGAAAAAGACGTGCATTGAATAATTTTTTGGGGGTTTTCAGAAAGAAAAGAATGTTCGTACAAAAATTCTTTAATAAAAAAATAAAACAAAAATATCATCGTGCAATTAACACTTATACATAAATACATATTTACAACAACAGAAAAAATAAAAAATTAAAATAAGAAAAGCTCAACAACATTTGCGGACATTTTTGTGCATTTGCGTACATTCCTAGACACTTGCGGACATTTCTGGACATTTTTGGACATTTGCGGACTTTATTAGACATTTGCGGATATTTTTGGAAATTGCGGACATTTGTGTACATTTTTGGACATTTACGGACATTTGCGGACCTTTTGGACATTTACGGACATTTTTGGAAATTGCGGACATTTGTGTACATTTGCGTACATTTTTAGAACTTACGGACATTTGAGGACATTTTTGGACATTTGCGGACATTTTTGGACATTTGCGGACATTTTTGGACATTTGCGGACAAGACTAAAGGCTGCTAAAATTTAAAAACATTTTTTTAAATGCCGAGTACTATGGCTTAGGCATCTGATTTTGGCAGCTTTTCGAGCATCTAATTGATTTAGATAATAAAGCTTATGTTAGTTGATGTCCGCAAATGCTTGTCCGCAAATTTAATTTTATCTTAAGAGAGGACCCCAAAATTTTTTTTTAATTTTTAAAATAGAACCTTAAAATTGGCTGAAAAATAAAATAAATATTTGTTTGAATTAAATATTTGCTTGTAATAAAATGAAAAAGGATGTGAGGGATTGAATGAATGAGAGAATGATTTTACAGTAATAAGTCTAGTTAGCTGGAGAGGAACAAACAAGCTCTATAAAATAAAAATGAGAGACAAAATAAATAAAATAAAACTTAAAGCATCAAACAACAAAAACATGACTCTAAAAATTTTTTAGAAAAATCTAAGGGGTCTGAAAAATTCAGAAAAAATATTCAAAGGTGGTGTCCGCAGATGTCCGCAAAATTAATTTTGTCCGCAAATGTTTGTCCGCAAATTTAATTTTGGTCTTGAGGGATTTTAAGGGGGTAGGAAAATGAGAGAACCGTGGTCTTCTGGAAGAAGAAGGGATTTTCGAAAATAATTTTTGAGATATGAGGACTAGATACAACAGGAGTTGATCCTGTAAGGAAGAGAAAGATCCAGCTGACTAGCATATAAAACGCTCACTAGGCTGGTGTTTAAGATCCATTGAAAGAGAAGGTGAAAGCTGGTTGGTAGAGCACCTGTACCGGATGAGCGAATGCGCCTAGCAATAACTGCCAGGAGGTCGCAGGATCGAAGTCTGCCCGGGATTAACCGTTTACCTCGTTCTTACTATCCTTAGATCATGAAAAGACCGACTGAATCTGGTCCTAAGGCAACCCCATTAAGATTATCAGCTTAAATTCGTCACTGGACCCAGAAACAGAATTCGGATTTTCATTAATACCAAGACAAGATTGGACAGGATTCGATCCGGAAATCATTCAAAAACTGCCAAAATCTGGTCATAAGCCAACACCATTAGAATTAAATTAAATTCGTCTCTAAAATTAATAATGTTTTTGGTAAAAGAAAAGAAGATTAATGACTCTAGTTGGCAGCGTGTAATAGCGACTATATCTAAAATATTTAATGTATCTCCATTACAAAAAATTTTTTTTTTCTATTTTCGCCCACCCAGACAAACATTATTTATAAAATACCTCCAAAACTAAACAGCAGAAACAACACAAAAATTTTCTCTGTCTCTCTTATTTTTCTATTGTCTCTCTCCACTCTCTCCCCTCTCTCCCTTCTTCCCCCTTATTGTCGCTACCAATCAAATCATCATTTATTTAATTCAACTGACTTTTTCATGGATACCGCCAAAAAAAATTTTTTTCATGTCAACTAAATAACAACACACTACTACCAACCCAAATATTCATCTCCTAAAAATCTCTCTCCATTGTTGTCGTAAATGGATGAATTTATGCACTTCTTTTCTTCTTCTTTATCCTCTTACCTAAAAATCCAACTGCGGTGGGGTGTCAATTTTTAATTGTATTATATAAATAATACTTGTAATTTTTAGTAAAAATGTGTGTAAATGTGGTGAAAATTATTAAAAGAAAATAATAGAAAAATAAATAATTTGCGGACAAAAAAATGTCCGCAAAAAATTTGCGGACTAACTCTTGCGGACAAACTGGATAAGGAAATGTTAGATAAGCTATGTTGGATTCGAGAGCTTTGGCCAAAAAACAGTCAGTCTTGGAAGTCTTTAGGATACCCGATAAGTCTTCTCAAGGATAGCAGACAGTCCGCAAAAAATTTGCGGACAAACTCTTGCGGACGTACTGGATAAGGCAATGATAGTCAAGCGGTGTCAGATTCGAAAGCCAGTGGGCATAAGATTTCGGAAGCCTTGGATTATAGTCTTAACCTGTTGTTTATGGCTAGCAGACAGTCCGCAAATAAATTTGCGGACATAATTTAAAATTTGCGGATTTTTGGATTTTACGGGATTTTGTTGTGGTATAGATTTTTTATGAAATTAAATAAAAGTATAATAGACATGTAAAATAAAATAAAAAATGTATTTACAATTTAAAAGGAAGTAAAAAAAAATTTTTTTCAATGTTTTAGCGTCAGGTGAAAAAAATGTATTTGAAATGTTTAATTTTTAATAATTAAGAGTTATTAAATAGTTTTTTAGTTGTTAAAATAAAGGTTAAATTATGCGAGAATAAATTATATATAAAATTTAATTGATTAATTTAAAATAATTTTTTAATTTTATGAGGGATAATTATCCCTCATAAATGAGGGATAATTATCCCTCATAAATTGAGGGTGAAAATTTAAATTAATAAATTGAACTAGAGTAGCAACCCGAGCCTTCGGGGTCGGAAGTGTCGGGAATCGGGGTTTGCCTGGGAAGCCATGTCGGGGTTCGGGGACGTGGTTGACTTTTGGGTCGGGGTCAGGTTTTTGACAAAAAACCCCGTCGGGTCGGGTCGGGGGACGGGGTACTGCCCTTAATTGAACTGAAGGGAGTGTCATTTTTGCGGACAATTTTTTGCTGATATTTTTGCGGGCATTTTTTCGGACATTTTTTTGCGGACATGCTCTGCGGACATTTTTTACGGACATTTTTTTGCGGACATGCTCTGCGGACATTTTTACGGTCATTTTCTGCGGGCATTTTTTGCGACCATTTTGCGGATATTTCTTGCGGATTTTTCATTTTAAAAATCATCCATGTACTTAGTCTCCATTAAAATACTAACATCTTAAACATATTTTTGAACACAATGACAACGTTACTAACAGAAAAACGAAAAGAAAATTGGCCTATATCCAACTTTAAATGTTAAATCGTTTTTTAAAGTGGGGGAGGACAAGCAATAAATTTTAGAAAAAATTTTGGGTCAAAGAAAAGTGTGATAAATTGAGGTTTAAAATAAAAGCAAGTTTAACCCTTTCTTCTAATTTATATTGGGCCAAGAATTAAAGAAAAGGTAAATTAATGAGTCGAGAATTGGAAGGGAAGAATTAAGGGGAGAATTAGAGGGGAGAAACAATAAATTTTAGCCTTAACCACAAAAAAAGAACAATTGACCTAAAATAAATTTTTTTTAAATAAAATTTATAGTTGTTGCTATATATGTAAATGTTAAAATTAAGGTAAAAAAGGTGGAATCAAACATTAAAATGTTTAATTCAAAAAATTAATTAATTAAGAAATAATGTAATAGTAGATGGGTGATAAATATTTGCGGACATATATTAGCAGAACTAGATCATGGAAACTTAAGCCGCATATTTTGGGAACGTATGGCCAGTGAGTGGGTAGTAAGATTCAGACTGTCTATTTAAAACTCGAAACTCAAATCATCAACATTTTTCATCCCAAAACTCGAAACCCGAACCTAAGAAAAATTTGAACACTCGACGCGAACACCTCACAATATTTTCTCCAACTATCCGGACCCTGGTAAGTATAAGGGAATAGTTGGCTCTTCGTAAGGCCGGTCTCGTCTGAATTTATCCAAAAATAATATTCTTGTCAAAAAACAAGTTAGGCCCACGTTTATAATCCATTTGGCAGTGATTCTGTTTTTTAATCAGTAAGTAACTCTTCTTAAAAAATTAATCGAGCATAGATAAAATATTAAAAAATGAAACTTAATTCCCCATTAAATGTTAATTTAATATTCTTGTCAAAAAATTATTTGTCTTTTTAAAAAGAATTAAATATCACCGACCTATGGCCACGAATAAAAAAGAGCGTTTTAGCTTCCCCTTTAAATCCTCTTTAGCAAAGTAAATCTTTAAACACTGTCATCAATCTAACACATTTTTTTGTGATTTTCAACACCACAGCGGGTGTGTGGCGATGAAGGAAACGAACATAGAAATGTGGGGATATATTACATACTAACATATACAACATCTGTCCAATCACAAAAAAGGATGTGGGGAAATTTGGGGAGAAATGTAAAGGGAAGGATGGTGTGAAGGGATGTTATAATGGATGTTTATATGGATAAAATCCTAAATATCGACAAATAATAGAGGATTGGAGATTCTAAAAGGTCTGAGGAAAGAAAAGTGATAAGCTAGGGACCGAACTTAGCTGACATGAGGAGGTGATATGTGTGAAGTGTCAGATCTGGCTAAAAAACACCTTGAGACTAAAATGCCGATGTATTAGGGAAGGATACGGAAAAGTGATAGGCCCAATTTTTGGGTATTTTGGCAATTTTTGATTTGATATATGGATAGGTCGAGGGAATTTTAAGTGAGGGTTATCTAGCTTTACGAAATAATCAACCTTAAACCAGCTAGTGTAGGAAACTATAAATTAATATTCAAGCAAGGTATTAGTCGTGATTTAGACCAGTGATGACTTAGATCAGGATCCTGTCTTCGGATTGGGCCGTAAAAGGGAAATCCCATACCAGTTCTAGACTAACCTTCACCGCAGACTTAGTCTATCATCGGATTGGGTCGAAAAAGGGAACCTTCCGATTGGATTAATAGATCTGCCTATTCTATCTCCATTAATGTGTTTACTTTTGTGATAGATTGTTATTAATAATCTTGGTTCTTTTAAGACACTCACCTTTAGGACATGGCAAAAACTAAGTTAATTACGGTGGAAGTTGGAGAAGTTGAAGGCACCAATCGGTGAGGGATGTCTTTGAGTATTAAAAAATATAAAAAATGAATTAATCCATCAAATTATTTTTTCTCTATTAAAAACAAGGCGCGTTGCAAAGTACAGAAAAAAGACATCTGTTAAATTGTTGATGATCAATTTTCGCCTTAGGGCAAATGAAGAAAAGGTGTAAAGTGTTACTATCGGTCAAAATGAAAATTGAGAGATATTTAATGGAATTGATGTTATAAACGTTAAAAGAAGTAAAAAAAGAGTTTGAAAAAGGTCAAATTACAGAAGGAAGGTTTGACAAATTTTTAGGATTTGAGGGAAATTTTTTCGAGAAAGAAAAAAGGCAACAAAATGAGGTACGAAAATAATTTATTAAAAATACGTAAAAATACAGACTTTCAATAAGCTTATTTAGAGGCACAAAGCTAGGATGAGGAAGAATCCTCATACAGACAGGCCCATTAGGAAGAGAGCTCCCTGTTGGGGCTATAGAAAGGTCCATTAGGAAGAGAGCTCCCTGTTGGGGCTATAGAAAGGTCCATTAGTAAGAGAGCTCCTTGTTAGTGCTATGGAGAAGTTCGTTATAAAGGGAGATTAATAAAGTACCATCCCGACTAAAACGGCGATAAGACTTGTAGCATGGATAGGCCAGGGGACAAAGAGATAGACCAGGGGGTATTTCATATCCGCTATTTCCCATCAAAATTATTGAAACAGCCTTTTCTGGCATTGGTAAACCATCGCCATTTATGGGTGATGGCAAATGGTGGATATTGTAATAGGCCCCAGAGGTTGAAAAAGAATCGGATCGGCTTCCAGGTATCATGTAACTCGACTCTCCTTGTTTCATAACTTAGACAAAACAAGAATTATCCAAATAAGGACTCTCATACTTTTTAGATAGGTAATTAATTTTGATATAATTTTTAAAAATTATTTTTCATATCAAAAATTTATTTCACAAATTTTTTCGAGTTATTAAAAAAAATAAAAGTGTAAAAGTAAACTTTTATGTTTATGTGTGTGGCTGACACCTTTACCAAACACAACAATAATATAAAATAACATTTGCACTTTTTGTAAAAAAAATGATGGAAAGAGGTGTCATATGAAAGAGTAATTATTATTAAAAGTATGTTGAACAGTTGGTAAGCTAATAATAATTTTTTAGAGATTTATTATTAAAACAGTTGGCGCGCATCCGAAAAATTATTTTATTATTAAAAGATTAACATTAAATATAAATACAATTATTGTAATAGATTGAAGAGATAATGAATATAACAGCTGACATTGCCTGAGGGAAATAATGACACTTGAATTATTTGACCAAATTTAGGAAAGTTTAGGGGAGGGCACAAAAATTAAATTTATGAGAAAGGAGGAGAAAAGAAGTCGGTTGGACCCTTCGAGGTCGAAAAGGTCGGGTTGGGGTTAGACGGGACTTGATCTAAGATCATACAGCCTACTAACAGAGGTTTCGAGTGCGAAAAGGTCGGGTCTAGGATTAGACGGGATCGGGGTCATATCCTAGAACAAGCAGACGACTAACAGTATAACAGTTGATTGGAATATAAGACCACCCAAAGGATTAGTATTGTAACAGATAAAGTAACTTGATTAGAAGGGTGTTATATGAAGTAACCTAAGGGGGGCTATTAATTTAAAAAAATTTTCCAAAAATTTTTAATAATGAAACCAAGGAAAAAATTTAAAAAAATTAAAATAAAATCTTTAAATAAAAATGTGAAAATCGAGATCAAGATTTATATTTAACGAAGAAAATTAATTAATGAGGAAAATATTTTTTCGATTTAATGAGGATATAATTTATAAGTATCAGTTACTACCTCTGCGCGCGAAAAAAAAATTTTTTATAAGGCTGCTTTACAATAAATTAATTATTTGAATATTCTCAACTTCCTTATCTTCCTTAAAAACATTAATTTTAATAACAAAAACTTTTTTAGAGAGAAGTGTAAGGGGAGAGCAGGCACTGTAACCCATCTTCCACCCGTAAAAAATATTTATTTTGAATTTTAACAAGACGAGAAAATGAATAATCTCTAAAAGTTGTTTAAAATATCCAAAATCTCTCTCCCCCCTCCTTCCTTTCTCCCTTCCTTTCTCCCTTCCTGACAGCCCCTTCCAACCAATTTTTCTTCATTTCCTTATTAAATTCCCTCCCTTCCCCCAATATTTATTTTATTACTCCCTTCCAGCCTTTTCAATCATTTTCATCACTTGCCCAAAAATTTTGGTCAATTTGCCCTTGAGACGTTAAAAAGAATGAAAAAAAGATTATTTTAAGCGCCAATCAAAATTATTTTTATTTCCTCCTTTTTTAATAATTTTCTGCTGCCAGTCAACTTTGCTTATCTGATTTGGAAGGAGGAAGGGGAGGTGTCATTGTATAAACAAAAAAAGTTTTGCCCCTTAAATATATTTTTATTAAATCCCCCACTCATCAAGACTGGAACGAAAAAAATTTTAATTTTTTAATTAGAGAGAGGGAAGGAAAAAGAAAAATATGTATGTCGATTGATACACAGGCAGATCCCTGTAAAAATTTTAAAAAATGTTTTGTTTGAAAGAAATTCGGATAGGGCAAAATTGGATTATATAACTCATTGTTCAACGATCAAGTGCCATTTTACTCTAAACAAGCGATAGACCCTTAGGCATGATTTAAAAACGGAAGACGGAAGTAGAATGGCCAGAAAAGGCAAAAGTAAGCAGAGGACGAAAGAGATTCCATCCCTGCTTTAAACTCTCAAAAATTTTTTTTTTAATTTGGATGGACAATTGGAAGAGATTGACATTCCAGGGATCTAGCGGACATAAAAAATAATTTCAGTTTTGGGAATCGGGATTACCGATCCCAAAAAACGTCAGAATCTCCCACCCTCTTCTCTGCTCCAACTTAACCTAAAAATTAAAAAATAATTTTTCTTTAAATTTTCCCCTTTCCAAACTTCCCCCTCATTTCTTAAATTTAATGCGCGCGCATGTTGAATTGCGTTTTGGCATTTTTATAGGCTAAAGGATGGCAAATTAATTGTTTTTTTTAATAAAATCCATGGGAGCAGCAATATTTGCGAGAGATTCTAATCGTGCGATTGAGGCCGGGAGGGTCGTAAATAAATTTTTGTAAAGGGGGAAGAGAGTATTAACGATTAAGAAATGATGAGAAGAAAATAAAAAAAAATATAAAAAAAAATCATTTTTTTTTGGGGGTGAGGTAATGAAATTTTGTGTGTACAATTAATGTTTAGGTATGTTGACCAATTGGTTTTGGTGATTTATAGTTATTTTTAAGTATTAAATAGATTGATAGAATTGATAAAAAAATGTTTTGGCATTGTTGCTATTTTATTAAAAAATCTTGAAATTACTTTAATTACCTAATTTAAAAAATTTTTAGAATTTTAAAAAAGGTAAGGTTGTAAAAGGGTCAAAAATTAAATTTCTATTTAATATTAATTTTGAATCTACTTTGAAGGAGAATGGATTGAATAAATCTAAAAATTTTTTTGAATTGTTAGTCCCTGATTGAGGCCCCAAAGAAGTTTGTCCGCAAGTTTTGTCCGCAAATTTTGTCCGCAAATTTTGTCCGCAAGTTTTTTAATTTTATAATAGAAGGATTTAGAGATCGAGCTGGGCCAGGACCAAGGCCTGGGTTTTTCCTGTACCCAGAGTCCAAGCCCAGGCATTTTTTGACCTTCCTGGGTTTTTCCTAGACTATAGGCCCAGGATCCGGCCAAGGTCAATGAATCAAACCCGGAACACAGGAACAGGTCCATGCTTTTCAAAAATCTCGATCTCTAGAAGGATTAAAGTATTTTAGATATATTTTTTTATTTTTACATTTTCCGTAAAATTTATACAGCTTTGAGTATACTAAGGTTTAAGGTTTAATTCCAGCTTGAAACTTGCAGACAAAATTTGCGGACATTTGGAAGCATTAAGAAATTTAAATATATTTTACCTAAAATATACCTAAATTTATTTTAAAAAATAGTAACATAAAAAATAACATCGAGTTCTTATTCGTCAAAAAAATATTTATTTATTTATTCCCTCCCTTTAATATTTTTTGTTTCTTGTCCCTCATGTTATGTTGCTTGTCTTTTTAACTAAAATAAAAATTACGGTAATCCCCCTCCCATTATTTTTTTTCTTGGCCTAGAAACGAGGAATTAAAGGGTATAATAGCACAAATAATATGTCAAGATATTTTTTGAAAATAAAAAATAATTCTTTTTTTAGTAAAATATACCTAAATAACATCTTGCTACAGATGGAGGAAAATTTTGAAAAAAATTGGGGGATTTTTAATTTAAATTTTTCGTAGTATAAAACGAGCAAAGGGCTATTAACTTGGTTAGATTGTCTCGAAAAATAATTATGGACGGAAAATAATTAAAATAAAAAAAGGTTCAATATTAAGGATAAATTAAAGATCAAGGCACAAAATGCAAAAATAAAAGAAATTAAATTTGCGGACAAATATGAAGCTTAAGGAATTTTCTATTTTTGGTGGTATATGGCACAAAAGATCTTATATTATTAATTTAGTGGGCGCTTCCAAAATACCGATTCGAAAAATGGCCGTGTCTCGAGTATCTGTCTGAAGTAAATCGGTCCGCAAATGTAAGAGTTGTCCGCAAATGACGAAAATCGGTACGCAAATATTGGCCAGTAAGATGTTGAATATATACCCAAACTACCTATGTTAAGTATAAGTCGCAGGATATCTGTTCGCAACAGAGGTGGGTCGGAATTTCTTTCCGATTTCCGAAAAAATTTTGATTTCCTATTTCCGAGTTCCGACTTTTGAGCCAGTTCCGATTTCCGAGTTCCGACTTTTGAGCCAGTTCCGATTTCCGGCTCTCTCAATTTCCGACACTTCTGACTGTTCTGACCCACCTCTGGTTCGCAATATGTCAAGTATCTGTCCGGATGTTCATACTTATAAATCAGACACACAAAATTCGCTATCTCGGCAATCCAGGAGAATTGTGGTCCCTGCGGGAAAAAATCTTAAAAATAAGAAAAATGATTTTTCTAGGGTAAAAAAGTACGCTGATTACGAATCTGAACTCAGATTTTGAAAAAGTCGAATCCGAACCCGAATATAGGTCCTCGAATATCGAAAACCCATAGGGGGGACCAAGCTGATTTGGGTTGAAAAATTCAAATATGCAAATTATACCTCATTCGAAAGAGCTCTTCAAGCTGAGTCGAATGACACCGAAATTACCGTTATTGAACAAGATTGGACGAAGTTATACCACAATAAACAAACAACGTAAACCTATGTCTTTTGTGTTATAACTTCGTCCGATTTTGATCAATCTAGATGATTTTGATGTCATTCGACTCAGCTCGCTGAGCTCTTTCGAATGAGATATTAATTGACCAATTTGCGCTCTGTTTTTTTCAAAATTTTCCCCAAAATGTCAAATATGCGAATTTCGGGTTCGGGATTCGACTTTTTCAAAATCTGAGTTCAGATTCGTAATCAGCGTATTTTTTTACCCTAGAAAAATTCTCTTTCTTATTTTTAAGATTTTTTTCCGCAGGGACCACAATTCTCCTGGATTGCCGCTATCTCGTTGACCAAGATTTTTTAATCAAATATCTAGTAAATAAGCCCAAAATTTATTTTTTTGTCTAAAAATATCCATTTATTTATATTTTATAAATAATTAAAAGGATTGACTCTCGATTGACCAATTTGTTATAAACATTATCCTTTCCTTCTCCTAACATATCTTGTCTATTAAAAATGTAAAAACTTTTTTTAATAATATTATTACAACGCGTGCGCATCCTTCCCTTCCTCTTTCCCCCTCAATTTATTAAGCAATTTGATGATCTTTTGATTAATTATTATTTACTTTAAAATAAAAATTCTTGTTGTGTTGTTGAAGGAGAGATTAAATTTTGTGATCATTTTGCGGGTTGAATTGGTGGGGGAATGAGAAGAGAAGGGGGAGATAATCAGATATATTTAGGAGGAAATTAGTTGTAATAATGTAAAAATAAAAATTAATTTTATTTTTGGGGAAAATACAAAGTATTTAGATTTCAAAAGATCGAGAGTTAAAAATGAGAAGAGAATAGGAAGGTAAAAAAAGATGGTATTGAAGGGAGCCGGAACTAAGTCCCTTCCCTGACTTGTTTCTAAACAAGAGCCTTGTAGACCTGAACGGGAAGCAGTATCGCGAGCTTAAGCATTACTTCGTTTAGAATATTTGCTTCCCGAGCATCCTAACAGATAGGACGTCCAGGATTGGCTAATAATGAACGAAGTTATCGGGCTGAAGATCAGGGCCGTGCGCCAAGATTTTCGCGTGGCGCGCAAAACCTGATTTTTTCACATTTTTAAATCACGCCAAATGACGTGACGCACAGCCCTGCTGAAGATAAATTTACAAGAAATATTAAAATATACCAAGGAAATGTGTTTTTATTGTTAGGCGCTTTGCTCATCACGTAAAAGTGTCCTAACGATTGAGATACCGGGGCGCCACATACCCCTCCCCCTACCTTACCTCAAAATTCTATCAAGCCGGATCCATTCTCTATTTTTAATTTTGCCTAAAAACTATCCAATATATTACCCCAACCACTCTCAAATTTCCGTTTTCAACAAATCTTCTTTATTTCTTCATCCATTATCTCTTAAAACTCCTTTTATTTTTACCCAATTATATTCTCTCACGGCCAATTGAAATCGCGGCCATGCGAAATAAATAAAGCTTATTTAGAATTAGGCAAATAATTAATTTATTTCCCCCTTATTTCCCGATTGTTTTAACAACAATTTCTATTAATTCCCTCATTCATTCCTTCAATTTTTAAAATAAAGAAAAGTTTCTTGCCCAATGTTTTATTGTTGTTTATAGCTATTTAGAAAGCGTGAGAAAATTAATTTAGCTTTTTTTATAAAAAAGAGATCTGGCAAAAACTAGCGACAAAAGCGCCAATGCAGAAGTCTAAGAACCCAAAAAAAATCTGACAAGAAAGAAAAAATTTTTACGGTAATCGGTAAAATTCTCGGTTCAAATATAGGATCTGAGTATAGATAAAAAGACAGGGCGGCTAGAAAAGGTAGGGAGCAGGGCTGGGCGAAATCAAAAAATAAAAAGCGAAATGCGAAACTTTTCGCACCAAAAAATGCGAAAAATGCGAAAGCGAAAGCGAAAGCAAAGCCCAGCCCTGGTAGGGAGGCCTGTTCCTGTATCGTTACAAGTTCTATGGAGTTCTATGGAGCATTGAAGATTCTCGGAACGAGAACCAGCAACAGTCAAACTTTAAAATTGTATTGTTTGGAATGTGGGGTATTGTTGGATCAATATATCCAGGTCCGAAAAAGTCGGGATATCCGTAACTTTTCGGTTCCGATAAAAATACGGAGATTTTGGGGAGTTCGCCAGACCTATTGGGAAGTCAAAAATTCAACAAAATAAATTTACAAGAAATAAAATTTAAAGGATAATCCATAAAACAGATTAACTAAAAAATATTTACAAAAATATTAAATAAAATTAATACATAAAAATATATTTTTAAGATACATTTGGTCAATAAAAATTGTTTTTTTAAATAAACGGAAAGATTAGGAAGAGTGAAAACTTGGTAAGATTTTTAATATTTATGGATAATAAAGGATTAAGTTTTAAAGTAAGGGCAAAAAGTTGGGAGAGTGAAAAAAAAGTTTGATTGAGAGAGTGTTAGGATAATAAAAATTTAAGTAAAATGAATTAGAAAATATGTGTTAATTTATTACCTATAAGGACAAAAATAAATATCTATCTAATAGAAGACCAGTCTCAAAGTCCCTCCAGTGGAATAAGGATTCCCTCTATGAGAGAACTAATAAGAGGATTCCTCTGATAGAAGGATAGCCACAGAACACCCTCTCTAATAGAAGGAACTCTATTAGAGAACCCCCTCTGAAAGGAGTCTCTCACTGATAGAGAATCCCGTATGATAGAACATTCAAGAATAGCCACAGAACACCCTCTCAAGTTGAAGGAACTCTATTAGAGAGAACACCCTCTAAAGGAGCCTCTCTAAATGCTAGAGCGTTCCTTCGAATAGTAAGACTCTCTTTTTTGATATGGCCACCTTTCTAGGATTAGTATCAGGGATGTCTCGGGTTGAGAAAAAAGTCGGGTCGGGTTTCGGGTCGGGTTTTCAAAATTTTCTTCGGATCGGGTTTCGGGTTTCGGGTCGAAAAAAAATCCGGGTTTCGGGTCTCGGGTCGGGTTTCGGGTCGGGTCAGTTAAAAATTTGAACATGAAGCCAAATTTTTCGGAGAGGCTGGGGATATTAGTGATTTGCGGTATTAATAAGATAATATATGAGTGTGATATGATAAGAGACAGAGATTAAATGGATTTGGATGGATTAAGAGTCTCTCATAAATACTAGTATCCCTTCTAAATCGCCTAAATTATCAACTTTCTCTACAGGATTTTTCCAAGACTCTCCCCTCTCAACAGTTTTGTTTTTGTTTAAGCTAATCTTTTTAGTTTTAATACCCAAGTATCTTGTTGTTTGCGCGTGTAAATAATAAATAAATAAAAATGGGGGCACTTGAATGAATAAAAAAAAAATTTTTTTTGAAAGATTTTATGTGTGTGAGAATTTTGGAAACTTGGGGGAAAGAAAATATTTTTAAGCACAGAATTTTTATTTATCCAACAGAGGTTAAAAGACACAAAATAAAGGATTTGAGTGAGAAAATGTGAAGTTAATCTCCTTTATTTTTCCTTTTCAGTCATTCATCCAAGTAAGGAAAATGAGAATAAAACCCTCTTAAATTATATCACAATTACACCAGGCGCGCAAACAGTAAATAAATGAATAAAAAAATTTTGTTTTTAAATTTTAGAAAAAATGTTTAAAAATTGGAGAATTGAATTAGGTATAATTTGTGTTTTGAGTAAATATAAAAAAATTTTTAAATGGTAGGTTAATTTAAGCAAAATGGGATAAGACAAGAAAATCCGGAAAATCAGGGTGTACATCTCATGTCAGTCCGCAGCGAGTCCAGTCCTCTTAAGGCGATAACTTAGTCTAAAATTTTATGATCCTAGACATCCTAATATGGTTCGATACCAATTGAAACGAGCAACAAATACAATGGAGTTCGGGATTCGAAAATTTTTTTAGAAAAAGTCATAAGACTGCAACGGTATACTTAGGCTAACGGCGTGTTTCCACTTTCTATCCAAATCAGAACCTGATCCAGGAGCAGTTCTAACTTTTAATAAAATAGGGATTGAACAGGAGACTTTTTTGAATATTTTATTAGGAGGGTTTGGGTGGGAGTTTACTCAAAAAACAATGTAACACATAAATTACGGTTACTAAAAAATTTTTTTTCCAAAAAAAGGAAGACATCGAAGCGGAAATGGCAATTGACAGAAGGGTAATAATAATAATAACAAGATAATAGAAAAAATACCGACAAAAAATATAAATAAATTTTTTATATTTCCGTTATGATGCCAAAGCTATTGACGAATTAAAAAAGGAGAAAAAATGAAATCGCGACGGATACTTTTTTGTTATGTGTTTTTTTGTTTGTTTAGACCGACTAGTAGTTGAAAAATAACTAGTGACCCATAAATGCATGGAAAAACATTTTTGATTGTTTTGTATAAATATTATTATTTGGATAGGATATAGAGACGAGGCTAGAGGATTGATCGAGAGTCGAGATCAATATCTCGAGAACAAGAATTAAAGAGATCATGCCCTCGTTAGAGCTTGATACTGATTAAATGCCCTCCCCCGTATAAACGCACGCTTGACTAACCACAACCTTTAGCTAGAGGTATGGTTCGACTAATTAGCCTCTTCAGTGGAATTGATATCTCAGGAACGGGAGTTAAAGAGATCATGCCTTCGTTGGATCTCGATTAAATGCCCTCCCCCCTCCGAATAAACGCCCTTAGATTAACCACATCCTCTAAGTAGAAGTGTGGTTCGACTAATTAGCCTCTTCAATGGTAGACTGAAAAAATAATTACTCAGAGTAAATATGGGGTGATAATACTGTAAATATCAGTCCATACCTTCAAATAGATGTCCTCACACTCGATGATCTAATGAAAAAGAACGCCTTGAGTTTTCATTGAAATATGGTACGAGAGACCCTCTCTACCAACTGAGCTCCCAGGTTCTTTTTTGGCTTATTTTTTGTGTTTACAGTGTATTAAAAATTCTCAATCATTAAAATTTCAGTCTTGATAAATAGATAATATTTATGAGAACGAGACTAAAACTAAATTAGGCGTAAAGGACCGAGAATTGGAAGCAATCAAAGCGGCATCCTCATAAATTGTCGGCATTTTTAAAGCAAAAATTTATTTTTGTATCCCTCAAAGTTGCCTTAAAGTTGCTTCCTTCTTCAATAAGTGAATAAATAATCTTGTGGAGAGGGGGGAAAGGGGGATGGAGAGAGGAAGAAGAGGAAATCGAGGGTTAATTCATCTCCCCTATTTTTCCTTCCAAAAAAAATTCTCCCTTCCGTTCGTCCCCATCGTTCATCGAGATTTTTTGGGGCATTAGAAGAGATCGTTGGCATCATAATAATTGTCGGCTAGTCTTTTTAACTTGTTTATATCAAAAATAAGTCTGTTTGTAAAGTAATATTTTAAGTAGATAAAGACTTTTTTTATCTTCTTTTCTCGATTGAAGTAAAAGGAGACGCGCAATTGGCACGGGAAGTTGCGTAAATGTGTGTAGGTAGATAGATTTTATTGTCAAAAAACAAAAAATAAAATGATGATGAGGACAGGTAAAAAATGGGGAAAATAAAAAAGGAGTATTTAATAATTGCGGAAACCCCCAAAGAAGAGGAAAAAAGAAAATTTAAAAATTTTATGATTGAATAAAATTAAGGTGAAATCTCGATATAGCGATAAGTTTCGTGCCGGATTTTGCTGACGTTATAAGAAAAGTGATGTGAGTTAAGGAAATCAAACAAGCATAGAAATAATTTTAAAAATCCGAGTTTCTATCCCCCAAAGTCCGAAAAATTAATTCGAAATATAAGAAAAACTGAAACTTGAACAGATGGGTTAGGAAAATTCTTGGAAAAATTTTTATTTAATTTTCATTAGAAAAATTTGAGAAAATCATTTTTCAATTTCAAAAAATTAGGCCCCAGAAATATTTACCTATACAAAACCCAGCTGCGGATTTTTCTTGCGGACTTTACGTATTTGATTTACTTATTTGTTAACTATCTCGTATTATAAGTCAATCTAGGCTTAGCAGATAATGGAAAATCCACTGATATCCATCCAGATCCGGTATTTAAACCGAAAACTCATAACATTTTTTCGGATCTGTATACCCGAATTCGTGAACCCTAGCTCAATCTAGAAGACTTCAATAAAATATTTTTAAAAATAATTTTCCCCAATTTTTAACTATATTTTAAAACGACAGTAAGCCCTCCACAAAAATTGAAAAATAAAAGTCTTATTCATGTTACACTAGTCGTTGGTTGTATTTATATATGAAAGAGGGAAACAGTCAAAAATTTTGAGGATTTGGAAAATGGTCGGAAGATGAGTGGTTGGTTTTTAGAAATTAAACAAAAAAAATATAAATGTGTGTTATATTATGTATCTGTTTGCTTTTACTATTCCGCCCGGTTGGTTATTTAAAATTGAGAAGGGAGAGCTTCTCAGGATTGTTTGTTTTTGTTGTCCTAATGCATTTTATGGCGCGGTAATGGTTAGGAGTGAGTATAAATTTGGCAAAATAGAGGGTGGTAAAATTGGTTAGAAATAAGAAAGTAGTGAGAAATTTTTGCGAAATCGCGTTTTTAAAAGTTTGCGGACATTTGCGGACAATTTAATTTACGGACAATTTTTGCGGACAATTTTTTGGAGGATATTTTTGCGGGGGCTACTTGCGGATTGCTTTTTGCGGACTTTCTTGCTTGCGGCCAAGAAGCCCTTTAACTTTTAAGCGGGCGTTTTTTGCGGCCCTTTTTTGCGGACTTAACTTGCGGACACTATTTTGAGAACACAATTTTGCGGAAACTTTAAAAAAATTTTAATTACGGTAACTTTATTTACGGTAACTTTTTACGGACTTTTCTTGCGGACATTTTTGAGACTTCTTTTACATTACCGTAGATTTTAGCAGGTCTTACAAAAAAATTTCCGAGTTTCAGAAACTCTTGTATTCATTCCAAATTCACAAAACGCCCCACATTTTTATCACGCCCAAACGTCCCCCTACCCTATTCTTGTATAAGTCTTGTTTTTAAAAGACTTACTCATCAGTTGTTGGATGGCATTAAAGCTATCTATATTTATTTTATATTATTTGCATTTGTTTCCCAAGAGTTTTGAGGAAAGAGAGACATTTCATCCCAAAAATGCTTTTCCTTATTGCTCATTTTTATACCAATATTCCCCCCCCCCCCAAAAAATTTCTCTCTTATTTTACTCACTTATGGTGGCTAAACTGTGAAGAATCATCGAAAAGCATTAAAAGGGCTATTAAGAAAAGGGAATTAAAGACAGAAAAATAAGGTATTGTAAGAAGAAAAAAATTTTGAGGGAGTGGTAAATTGACTGAATAGATAAACCAAGATATTATTAAAAATGTGTGTTTGTTTAGCCAGAACACAAAAAAATAAGAAAAAGAATAAAAAAATATTAGAGAGGTAATTAAATTTAAAGTTAAGCTAATTATGAGACCCTAAAGCTCAAAATGTATGGCAGAAAGATTTAATTCCTCTATGGGTTTCGATGCTGTAGTTGTCTCAAAAGTTATGAGTGAGTAACAGTGCTGGGTATTTGCCACTTGTTGGCTCCGGCCCGGCTCCGACCATATAAATCCTTGGCTCCAGCTCCGGCTCCGGGGTTTTCAAAATCTTAGCTCCAGCACTGGTGAGTAACACATTTCATCACAATAACTTAACAACTCTTAACGTCGCTTAAGCAGCTCCTTAACTAGGATTGTCGAAGACCCGATGATTTTTCGGTTCAATTTAGATAACCTCAAGATATCAGGACTGGGACCTTCCTTATTATAGATAGACAAAGCTTTTAAGCCTTTAGGCCTAAAAATCATATTATATAACTAATGAGAATATGGTTGTCGGTTCCTGTAAATTTTTCGGATATCCGAAACCGAACCGAAGAACCGAACCGAAAAATCCTCGGTTCTTCGGTTCTGTTCGGTCCAGGACCGACAACCCTAAATGAGAGGTGTCCTAAAAATAGGGGTAGTGCCTAGGCAGCTCTACCGCCCATTGGCCAAATAAATCTTAAAGGCTCTTGTCCAGTTTATGCGTCCCATGGAATATGCGTCCTCGGGTCTTCGGTTCGGTTCGGTCAGGACCGACAACCCTAAATGAGAGGTATCTTAAAATGCAGGTACTGCCTAGGCATCTCCACCGCCCATTGGCCAAATAAATTTTAAAGGCTCATGTCCAGTTTATGCGTCCCATGGAATATGCGTCCTCGGGTCTTCGGTTCGGTTCTGCCCAGAACCGACAACCCTAAATGAGAGGGAGGTACCTTAAAAATGCGGGTATAGCTTAGGCATCTCCACCGCCCATTGGCCACATAAATTTTAAATTTTGAGGTGTTTTTACAATAAGGATTCGACCCTCCCCCTTTCGTAAATTACTTATAATAATTAAAATTCCCTTAATCTTCTTTTTAAATTTAAAAAATTTCTTGTTTATCCTTTCCCTTTTTAAATTGCTTTAGGGAGC